TTACGGAAAAGTTCAATGCAATAACAAAGTTAAACTATTAGTAAAAGTTGAGTCAACCGTTAGATGAAAAGACAATGATATTATTACAAAATTCAACCATTAAACGTACATGGTGGTATCAGAGTATCATTTTTATTAACATAAAACCATATGATATTAACCCTCTCCTTATTTTAAAGATTGTATACTCATGTATAAGTTTATAGCCCTTGTTGTAAGCAATTTAAATATGTATTTGTTTTTTATAATCTTTGTATCTAAAAGTTTTTACTTATGGTCATTTTTCGATTTTATGAGTATTTATTTTTATTTTTTAGTTTTTATCTTAGATTCAAAGCTTTAGGTTTCTCAATCTTAGTTCCAGAATATGATAATAAATAGGATAAGAAATAATATATGTTTATAATATATTGGAATTGGTTACCTATCTTACTATTTTTATTTTACTACTTTTAATGAGTCTCTACTTGAATGAGTCTTAGAAACACATTAATGTCATTCTTAATCTTGCTTAAGTCGTTATTTAGTCACCGTGACTCGTTTTAAATGTTTATTATTGTTTGATTAGTTACATATACCTTTTGTTAAGGTGTTCTCGATTATTTCTAGTACTTATAGTTAATATTAGTACTTTTATAAAACCCTGCATTATACTTTTAACTTTGTCTGATATTTCTCAAAAAGAATGACACTTCTCGACTTTACATGATATTTCTTAACAATACTGGTATTTATGGGCAAGAGGAACCTCTCGATCTTGCTTGATATTTATCGACATTGTTTATAGTAGTGGGTCTTCAAAAAACATTAAGGGATGCTAAAATGTTATTTATAAAGACCAAATATAATAATTTAAAAAAAAACATTTTACTTTTTATACTAATTTTTATGTATGTAAGAGAAAATTAGGGGTGAAAGCCCCCTCAAGAAACATGAAGCTTAGTCAGTGATTGTCTAATACTGCTTAACAAGATCAATATGTTCATAATTTATTAATTCATATTTTGCTTTTGACTTTAACATAGTAATAGTAAACTATCAAACTCAAGTGTATTACAATGAGTGTTGAAAAAAAAAATCTTTCTAAGCATGTCTTGATATAAGTATGGCATAATTACATTTATATTATTTGAAGTATCTTTCTTATTTATGTATAACAATGAAGTTTTTTTTGTCTATCTAGTAGTTTCCTGGTATGATCTTAAAAGTATTTGAAATTTCTCTTCTTAATTTAATCTTTTAATTACAATAAGAAATAACCATTCATATAATCAACTTAAATGCAACATTAATTAGAGTCCCTTTTTAGAATTAATATGAAATTTAAAAAATCTTGCCTAATTCATCATATAAAAAGTACTTGAATATAAATTTTTTTATAGTAAATCGAGCAAAATATATATTTTTTTCTTTATGAGAGTTTTTCGATGTTATAAGTTATAAGAAATCGATTTTCAGTTTATTAGGTAACATGTAACAATAAACTAATAACTTATTATTCACCTTCCATGTATAAATATATTGAATTTTAGAGTATTCAATCTTCTAGAAAGACACTTGACTATAAGTAATTTGTAAACATAGATATCTTTGTCAAAAAGAAAGATGTATCTTGTATCCTACATTCATATTAATATTTTATAAAGTACTGTTAATTATTAGACCAACTATATTTTTTATTCATGATTTGTGGATAACTATTAGTCATCATTTCAAGACAATGCATAATTGTACAGTTTTATTCCCTCACAAGAAGATTTAACCTCATATAAAATCAATGTTATAAATGTAAATGTTACTTTTTTTTAAATCATATACTTATTTATATTAATACTAACCTATATCTTCAATTTAATTAGAGTTAGAGGTAAGCCAAAACAACACAATACAAGTATTATATCCAAATATTTGAATTTATTGATTTTAAAATCATTAAGATATGTTATTTTTTTTTTGTCATATGTTCCTTAAGAAAAAGATTCATCTAAACGTGGCTATATATTATGTTATGTCTAAAATAAAAATAATCATTCAAGTTATAATTAAAGATAATTAAACAGTGATAATATATATATATATATATATATTATATAATATATCTATATATTTATTTTATATATTTATATATTTATATACATGACGTTTAAAAATCACATCAAACTTAAGACAATAATATTCGTATATTATGAAGTTGTATTATTTTTTAATATATATTTATATATTTCATGACGTTTAAAAATCACATCAAACTTAAGACAATAATATTAGTAATTATGAAGTTGTATTATTTTTTAATAATTCAGAATTCATTCTCTATAATAGATAACATATAAAGAAAAAAATATAGAAGTGATCACCTTATATACTGAAATAATAAAGTTAATTAATTTAATTATTTGAGTTATTTGATAATTAATAACTAAGCATATTCACTTATGATCGCCATAACTATCATCACATTGATTAGTAAAATAACATTTATCATTATCACACGCCCTCACTGTCATATTAATATCACCATCATGACCCTTACAGTTAACTCTATTCATGATTTATGGATACATCTAGGCAACATAAACACTTATTGACACTTATTGTCATTTTTGTCAATATCAGTAATAATATTTAATACTTTTTTTTTTGTCAGTTGTTCAAAGATAATGTTCATAGAATTTTACTTTTTTATATTGCATTGCCAGCCATACCGAACAGACAACCTTCAAAATTACACTGATGCAGGCGAAATGAAGTAAATGCATGGAGGGAACAATACCTTATAATATGATAGAACACACTAAAAATAGAAAAAGAAAATTCATTCTGAACAATAATCAAACACCAATGAAAACATATGAAAAGTTTCCTCTTTTATTCTATTATAATTTGGAAGTGCTTCATCCAGTTCATGGTTTCCTCTGCTTTTAGATCCTGGAAAAAGACGTGTAGGGCTCTATCAGTTAATGTCTAAAACACAATCAAATAAGTAAAGATTTTAAATGAAAAGCTTAACAAAAAATCACAGAAAAGATCAAAGAATGCTTGATATCTATAACATGCAGAGGGTTATCAGAGAGAAAGAGAAATATTATCCAGAAGGAGGACAAATGATAATCATGTGAAAAGCATATAGAACGGGGTAATGGCAAGTTAGTCATAAAACAACTAAATAAGTATACATGTTATGTCAGAAAATTGTTGAATTTGACGTGGGCCTATGAATGATTACCGTATCGTGTGGGTGTATTTAGGAAACACTATTTAGTAGCGATAAGGTGGAGGAGGGGAAGGGTATTTGAATGGCTTAGGAGGTGGCGGAGATGAATATTTGTATGGCTTATTGTGTGGTGGTGGCGGCGGTGGTGGTGGAGAGTGGTGAACTGGGTAAGGCTTCTTTTTGGGTGGTGGTGGTGGTGGAGAAGGGTATTTGTAGGGTTTCTTTTTGGGTGGTGGTGGTGGTGAGTGGTGTGGGTGAGGTGGAGGGTACTTGTGCAGTGGTGGTGGGGGAGATGTGAACTTGTGTGGTTTGTTTGGCGGTGGAGGAGAGTGGCGGAGTGGATGAGGAGGGGGTGGGTGGTGGTGCAGTATTTGAGATGGTGGTGGTGGTGGATTGGGATGGTGATAGGGCTTCTTGTAAGGAGGTGGTGGGGGAGAGACATGCTGGTTTCCTGAAATTTGAAATGGGAGACTGAAGAATAATATTATGGCCATTGCAAGAATGAGAGAAGCAGAGGCCATTAGAGACATTATTTTCCTTTAAGATGGTTATGTTGAGAACCCTATTTTATACTGTCTTTGTATACCATTTACCTTTTATTTTTTTTCCTTCATACATAGTACATGCATGCATGAATTGCCATTCTTGTTATTGGTTTTTTAGGAGCAACTGTCCCAAAGATTTTTGAAACGGTTGTGACCCTAAGTGTTTTTTGGAACGTTTGGATTTAGATTTGGATTTCATAGGCTGCGTCCTTAATTAAGAACGAACCACATTTATTTTTCTCTACCTCCCAATACATATATAGCATCGTATATTTAAATTATCCTTGATTCTAAGCTTCTAGCATTGACAAATTTCATTCCCGAATTTATTTATTTTATATTTTCTTTTACCTCTTTTCCCGCCTAATTTTAAAAAGTTAAAATAATTCCCATGTGAATTAAACTCATTTTTTATTATTGTAGTACATTTGGTGGATATTTTCAATAATTATCAGATTTTTTTTTTTTACATAGGATGAAGCATTTACTTATTATGTTTTGTGTTCAACGATTATGTCTTTCATAAATCACTATAAAATATATGATGAAGAGATTTGGTATCGGTTATGTTGCTATCGAGGCATAAAATGATGCGGTGAGATTTTTGTAATTATCGTAAATATATTGTCTCAAATTACAGATAACCAATGCCTAAAAGGTCTATGACCTTAGTTGTTTAGAGAATCGAGACAATAGAGACATAAAATAATTGAAATATATATTTTTTAATTTTTTTGAAAGACTGTAGGCAGCGATTCCTAAAAGAACCGAGACCATAAAACTTTTATCGTCTCAGTTAATTTTACAATTGAGGTAATAACATGTATTTAGGGTTAAATGTCGCAAACAGAGTATCTTACACATTTGTAATATCTTTTGCAGCCGCTATCTCTCTCTCCACGCTTTCCAGACCATCATCTTCCATTTCTTTTATTTTTTCTTTCTTATTTTCGTTGGATTAATTTTTCTACCATGTCTTTCATTTTTATTATCGATTCAATTTTTATGCACAAGGTATCTTGGATGTTTATTTCTTTTAGTTTCAGCATAGAAGCCGCCGTTCAACCTTCAAGATTAGTTTCGTTTTAAATTTTTGATGTTTTCATTTTGCGAAAACATACAATTTTTTTTTTCTCGTAAAAATAGAAAACAACGTTTTCTAAGATATTTGGAAGGATTAGCTTACTATACTTGCTACCAGGTATCAGAAAACGGTTAATCGAAATAAAAGTTAGAATTTTTTAAGTTTTGTAATGCAAATATTTTTACAGGTTTATTTCTGGTTCTGTTTTATATACATGTTATGGAATGTTTTTATAAAGAAACAATTTTTTACTGGTCAACAAACCCTTAACGTTTTTATCATTAAAAATGAGTTAATTATGTTATATGATTTATGTTTTCTTACAACAAATCGTTTATTAAAAAACATAAGATGATACGTTAAAAAGTATAGTGATAATTTAAAACAAAAGTAATTTGACTCTTTTTGTTAGATGTAATTTTATCCTTTTTTTTAGTCTGATGTAATGAGTTTCATTTATATCAGTAGTGTAGACAATCATGAGTGCGGTGAAGATTCTATTGGTCATTAAAATAATTTATTTTTTTCATTTTGTGGGGATGTTTTTTTTTTGAATAAAAATTATGTTTGATTGCATTTATATTCTGTTATTCATTAGTATAAAAATGAATTTTATAATGATTTATTATATTTATTATAATTCACTTATTATACTAAGTAAATATAATAAAATTGTAAATATGATAAAAAAAATTATCAATTTCAGTGATATTGCAATAAAAAGACAAAATAATGACAATTTGTAATAAAATAAAATATATTTTATGTAGATTATTAGTTGGTAATTGCTCATACAAGTATGAGCGGCTTATGATAATATTTGTATAAACATCATTTATCATTATTTTTTAAATTTGAAATATTTTATGTAAGTCATATTTATAATTAGCATAATTTTTTAATTTTCTCTTTCTCGTTGCACTTCACCCTCTTCGTATTAGTTGTTTTCGTTTTGCAATTCTCCTTGTTGCTCTCTTTCTCGTCTTCTCGTAATCTTTCTTTTCGTTTCCTTGTATCAGTTGCACTTCACTTCTCACTTGTTCTCTTGCGCTTTGCACGTCGTCCTCACTTTCTTGTTTATGGTTTCTGGTAAACATAAAAATTGTGAGTTTTAATCCTTATCTTTATTATTATTTTCACTAATGATTATTGTTATTGGGAATGTCCATTTAACATGAACCCTAATCGCTTTTTGTGCTTTCATATAAAAATTATAGAATAAATAAAATAAAAAGAACACACATATTTCCTTTTTAGCGCCAATTAAGGATAAAAAATTATAATTCAAAAAAATTAAATAAAATATCAAATAAAACAAGGATTTCTTAATTTAAAACTATGAAATTATATCATCCATATCATATTCAAATAAAAACAAATTCAAATAGTAAGAAGGCATAAAATATTTATTTGTAATCAAGTGATTTCACCAATCACATGGAATGATTGTTTTTTATTTACAGAAAAAATATCTCATTGACTTAATGATAAAAGTTAGTCAATTAAATAGCGAAAATGGAATTGTCCTATTATACGTTTGTGTATGCTATATACTATGCTTAATTATTAGAAATACGTGATTATTCTTTAATTATATATCACTTTGGTTTCATATCTATGTCCTCATATTCGAAGGCTAAACCTAGGTAGGCATCAACTTGAGTTCTTAGTTGTCAACTACGACGGTCGTATCTTTATAATGCATGACTGCATATAACTGCCCTCAAGCTCACAATTACCAAAACAAATAAAAATATTAACTCAAGTCTTAAAAGCATCTTATATGGTTTAAATTCGGATCCACTTTTTTAATTTGAATGCAAAAAAAGGTAAAAAAATCCTTTTTATTTTAATTTCATGCGTCAAGGTGGAGCGTAATTTCAATAATCAAATTTATCCGTTTTATTTGAATTATAACTTATAATATTTTTATTTATTTAATATTATTATTCAAATATAAATAGTTGATTTAATATAATAAATATTAACATATTTCATTTTTAGTATAATAAAAATTGGGAAATGCTGAAGATTTGTTCCCCTCTTTGAAAACGAGATTAATATAAGTGAAAGTGGCATAGCAGATCCTGATGGATCTAAAGTAGAAAATGAGTTTATAAGAGAGAGATTGGTGTTTTTCAAGGCACCTCAAAAAAGCATGTCGGTTGATTTTAACAAATTTCTCAAAGGATGTCGGTTTTGACATTAAAATAAGCATCATTTATAGAATCAAATCTGCAATTGGTCATTTGCATGTGAGACAAGCAGGGGCACCCTTTCATCCATCACGAGCCGTTATCAATAATTTTTTTCTCATAAATACTAGAGTTGGTGGTGACTAATCTAATGCCATCTCTCTCTCTCTTTTTTTCTTTTTTTTTTTGTTTGACTCCTTCTCAAATAAAAAATAAATTATGGATTTGAGATCACTAATTTCTCTGAAATATTCCATTTTTTTTAGTTAATATAAAGTGCATAATTTTAACTATTGATAATTTAAAATAAATAATATATATAATATATATATATATCAATTAAATTTAGATACAAAATAAAAATTTATTCATGACTTAAAATTTTAGTACTTCTAAACTTGAAACAATAGAAACAATTTTTTCTATGTTCGGTATCTAATCTAAGTATTCATGTTCATATTCATTCTGTGGTGTATCTGTTAAATGTTATCCGATGCTAAACTTAGTGAACTGTTAGTACAATAACTCAATACAACAGTAATAAATGCACAGTAAATGCGATCTACCTATCACTTACCTTTGACCTGTATTTATGATTTTTAACATGAGCTTGATATTAGCAAGATATTAATCACAACCCAATATATCAGTCCAATACCCCTAATTATCAATTACCTTAATTTTTGTAGGGAAAGCCGGACGTCCTACCTATAGTCGTTCGGTCATACGCGCATACTCTGTCGCGTTCAATTACCTTAGCATGTTCTTGTTTGCTGAGGACATCTAGTTTGCCTGGTGTGTTTACGTGACCGTGTGTTTTATTATAGAGTGATTTCATGAACGAGCGTGTTTAATTATAGAATGATTTTATGGCCGGACGTGTTTAATTGTAGGACTATATCATAGCCAGTCGGCTCACACAATACATAAATAAATATGTAATTATTTTAATTTAAAACGATATTAATTTATTTATATATTAATAACGTTTTAGATTAATATTTAGATTAATATTTTTTAGTTGAATGTATAATTTAAAATATCATTTCACACGTTAAAAAAATTTAAAAATTAAATTAAAAGAATTATACCAATTTAATTTTAAATTTTGAAGGTGAAAGTGATAAATATAGTTATATTTAGCCGATTACATCTGTGTGGATCACTCAACCAACCCATCTAGACGAAAGGCTAAAGAAGTTTTTGGAAATGATAATTGGATTAATTAGCCAAACGCGTACTTTGTTTGTATAAAAGTAATTGTAATAGTCCTTGTATTTGTGATTCTGTGCCGACCGAGTTCTTGAACACTTGAATGTGGGTCAAATTAAGGCCGCGCATCTTAAAAGCCTTGATTACTGTCTTTACATCTTTATTTTGTCAGGAAAATAATTTAATCCTTTGTAAATCTTCTTATGAAAAAAATAAGTTCATTACACAATAATTGTTGCGTGTGGTATGATTTAGATAATTTATATTTACTAGTTTTATATTCTTAACATAGTTTATAAAGCATTTCCTTCTATCATTTTATTAGAAAGGTAATATTTATTTTTCGGATACACTGTTGAAGAAGATGAAATTGTGGAAACTGTGTATCTTCCTTTATTGGATTTGTGAAGAAATAGGAGAAATGATTTAAAAGAAAGAAGGAAGAATGAGAGGATCTTCAAGATAGAAAGAAGATTTAAAAGTATTCATATTTACATATGCTACTTTTA